TTCGTCTTTCCGGCATCATCATGCGATCTAAAGATTCTGCCACGAGAATATATCACGGTTAGAACTAACCTACTTGTCGTACGACATTCATCTAGAAGATTCGAAGACAGATCAGTTATTAGAGCTATCTCGCGTCGAGTCCCGCGGCTAAAATGTATCAATGACAATTTAATGTTACCCGAAATTCGACTCGACAACGAGCCAGGGGGAAGGATTCGTCTCGTTTAAAAGCGAATCTACAAAAATTGGAGGAACAATACCGATCGAGATAGAAGATAGACGTGAAAAGGATGACAAGCTTCTCTTCTTCGTCTCACTGTCGGATCCCAACAATCGAAAATATCACTTTTCTCAATCCGTTTCCGTAAAATTATTATTTTCACGCACTTCCCACAAACAATCTTCCAACAATCATCCACTTAACCTCCTCGAACCGTCGACGAACAACCATCTCGGTTTCGCACTCGCTCGTTTTGTACTTTTCCACGCCATCTCGCGTGCGATCCTTGAGTTACATTTTAGGCCATCGACAGAGCGATCCGCGGCTTGAACGATTCGAATAGAGAGACAGTCATGCCAGAAATATCGTGTAAATGAGATCGGTGAAGGATGGATAAAGGATCGATTTCCTAACAATATTCAATAACGACGTTGTATAGCATTAATAGAGAGTATAGATAGTAGTAGGTAAACGCTAAAACGAAGCTCAGTTGATTGTTTCGGGAGCGAGCACCTCACTCACTTTTCACGTATAATAATGTCGTTTTCGCTAGCTTATACTTGTAAAATTAATTCGAAGGAGCGAGGTGTGTATGCGTGTATGCGTGTGCAACTGCGGAAGTCACCCTCGCCTATCTTTCATCTTTCGTCTTTCTCTTTTTCATCTTGCTTTCACCTCTCATCGTCGCCCGTCACCCCATCGCTCGAGATACGCGATCTCGGACTAGACAACTACCAGTCTTTCGACACCACTTACCCTTACTACGCGAGCCATAAGCCGTTATCGGTCGAACGTACATCCTCTTGGGCGTAGCGCTTTTCCATTTTTCCAATTTTCTTCTCCAAATTCCACACATTCTCTCGCGACCTTTTTCATCGATGTTTCTCGATGCTGGGGTTCCCATCTTGCCACGATTTTTTGGGGAGGAACTCGATTTGGGGATTCGATCTCTGTTCTTCGACGAAGACTTCCGGCAGCTGGATAGCTTCTACAGTTCGACCCGTGGCCACTCAACTAATTCTTCGACGTCAGGATTGTCACGAATTCTGTGGAGATATCGTAGCAATGCGAGCGAGAAAAATGATAGGGAAGAAATATTTCAAATAACGCGTCGAGCGAGTTATTATTCAGTGTTGCTTTCAGTCCCTCGATAAATCATATTTGTAAGATTGTTCGTGAAAAATAAATTGAAATTGATCATTATATTTTACCTTCATAATTCACCATTCCATCGCCATCCAAATCCGCCTCCTTGATCATATCGTCCACTTCCTCCTCCGACAATTTCTCCCCAAGGTTCGTCATCACGTGTCGCAACTCCTTCGACGAGATCAGGCCGTCGTTGTTCTTGTCGAATACTCTGAGAAACGAAAGTTTCGTCTCGTTTCGAACGACGAGAATACATATCTACGGAATCAACAACAATCTATGGAAATTTCCTGAACGAAGAATACCTGAACGCTTCGCGCAACTCGTCCTCTCCATCGGCACCTTTCATCTTTTTCGACATCATTTGCAAGAACTCGTTGAACTCGATCGTACCATTGCCATCCTGATCCACCTCGTTCACCATATCTCGCAATTCCGTTTCTAAAATTTCGAAAAAGGATCGGTCAGGATTTCTTTTCTTCTTTTTTTTTTTTTTTTCACGTTCGAAAAAAGAAAAGGAAGGAAAATTCGCCGCCTCTTTGCGATCTCGACGCGTGTAATACACGGTTATTCATCGTCGTTTCACCCAACACGATTAATTCCCTTGCAGACGTGTCGAGGAGCGGGCACAGAAGAACCCGACGTGCAGTTAATTACGGCAACGTTTGCACGTGCGCCTTAACCATCACAGTTTCTAGCCCGGGATCGGCGGAAAGGTAATTTTCCCTAAGCTCTTGTCACAGCCTAGTTTTCTACCGCTTAACTCTTACGTCGTCTTAGAAAACCTTCAAACTGGGATATTAATTTAGCAAGAGGAGTTTTCGCGAAGTTTGCGTTTCCCTTCAAACTTTTCATGCCTGCATCGGATCCACCAACCGTTTAAGAATCGTGTTATCTCATTTCCGATTTCACGAGCGTTTCGTTGGCGTCGCAAAACATTACATACAATTTTCGACCCCGATTTATTAAATTTTTATCGAACAATTTTTATCTCATCGTGCATTTCGATGGACTATTCTCGTTCCATATTCAAATCTCACGAACGAGTGTTCTATAAATAGTGGCAGACAGATAAACGAAAATATCAAACTGTTTTCCCCTCCAAAAAATAACTCTAACAAACTCTTTTTCGAGATTCCGTCGGTCCAAAATCCACGAGAACGAGAATATATTCGAAAATATATTCAGCTTCGCTCAGAATGTTGCCAATCCATCATGGTAAAACGAAATAAACGAGTAGAACAAAGTTTCGCTTACACGATCTTCGCTTCGCGATTTGTCAAAATAAAACGATCGTTAATTCGATATAAAATTTCACGAAGGAAGTCTTGCGCTAGCGGTTATTAGACAATAATACGGTGTGTTCGGTTTAGATTACCGTTATATCTTTTGGCCGCGAGCGGGTAGACTTTCGTCAGCTCGTGGCTTCTGGCCAGATCATGCCTGCCTCCGCACACGTGGACGACACGCGGCCGACACTCTCCGATTTTTTTCCAAATCATTTTCCACTTACCGGACGGCCTTTGCCCCAGAGATCGCATGACCACGCCGAGCTCCGCCATCGTGATGGTGCCGTCCTCGTCCTTGTCGAACAGCATGAACGCCTCCTTGAATTCTGAAGCAATCTCCCATCAATTCGTTTCTGATCGTGTCGCGTTCAAAAAACGAACGAATCAACCAATATTCGCGCTTCTCACGAATAATATTCCTTGAACGGTCGTCCAACCGCACGGATATACAGGTTGTAAAAGCCGAGAAAATTTGGCAAATAAAATCGCGAATGCACGTTGTCGGCGAATTGTCGGTGGATTTAGACGATTCTATTAATCACATTGGCCGTGTACGTGTATACGTGTTTCGGTCACGCGTTTACAAGTCGCGCAAAACCGGTGGAGATCGCGCGAGTTTCGGGCAAGTGGCCAGCCACCGACGAGGATAGTTGCGCCGTTATAAATTTTCACAACGTACGACGGCCAGCCATCGTGCTCGGTAAAAAAAAATTCGCGGACGACAAGGGGGTCGTGAATAGTTTACGAGAGAGAGAGAGAGAGAGCATGCGTTCATTAAAATAGTCCCGTTTGATTCGTCAGAGCATCCACAGGAGACAATACACTTCCATTGCCATTGTTGCAATTTCCACTTTTTTATCCTTCTCCTCTATTTACTGTCTCCTTTCCTTCCCGCATTCATTCGTCAAAACCGTGCCTCTCCTTTTCTTTTTTTAATCCCCCGGGAACGAACTTCGCCACATTTGCCACATTTGGAAGTTGGGAAATCGGGATGGACCGATGCGAATTAATATCTCACGATTTCGTAATAAAAGTCGAATATCGTACGCGATATCTCATCGATGGCGAGCGTTCCACGAGTCGTGGAATATCTCATCCGTATAACATACATCGTATAACTAACTACGTCTCGTCCCTTGCGAAGGGGTTAGGTTAAATATCGATCGATCGCAACTCCTTGGAGTTAATTCGGAAGGATAAGGATGCGAAAGTGAGAGAATAAGAGAAACAAGAAGGAATTCAGGAATTCAGACGCGTGCAATATGAGTTGAAGGAAAGTTTAACGATTCGTGACAAGAGACCAAGGTAGATTGGAATGAGTATCGGCGGGGTAACGAGTTTCTAGGCGGTTCCGTTTGGTCTTATCGTTTGCTGCGATCTTGCGTTTATCATCGGGTAAACACCGGACGATGCATTAATGGACGAGCGGCAATTTCTCTCTCTCTCTCTCTCTCTCTGGTAGAAATTGTGAAAAATTTATACAGAAGAGAGATCGATCGAGAACGCGCGTGTGAAAGGATACACGAAGGATGTCGAGAAATTTGTAAAAATTTTTTGTCTCCATTCAAGCGAACGTTAGATGTATGTAGTTTATGATAATATACGATAGAAATTAAAAAATTCGAAATCGAATTTTAAAATTTCAACGTTGAAAAGTGTACCTCTTCGAAGCGTCTTCGAAGCGTCGCGCATTCGATGGAATTTATTTAAAGTTTCGAACATTCCTAGGGAATTTCGTCATAATGGAAAAATATCCACGCCTCGAGAAAAGAATTTTCTATCTTTAAGCGATCCTTTATCATTGCTTCGAAGCAATGGAATATCGAATATTCGTAGCCATTTGTTTCCTCAAATTTTCCTGCATATTCGCAAATATTCTGTCTGCAGATTAATCGTGCTTACAGGAAAAATATCAAACCGTATTTTCGTCGGTATTCAGAAGACGAAATAAATGGCGACGCTTCGTTATAAGATGCGCGAGAACGGTTCCTTCAATTTGCAAAATGTCGTACGTCAAGTAGACCGAAATACACAACGTGTCACGCGTAAAAAAACTGTGTTCATTAACATCAACACGTTCACGGACACTTGAACTCTCGGTCGAAACTCGGTTTTCAACAAGCGCGTGATGCCAAGAGAATGAAAAATTTCGTTTCGTTTTTTCCTCGTCTATTCAAAAAGAGGAGAAAAAAATCATTTTGCCACGCGGCAAAGAGAAGTGGTCATAAATGGTAAAATTTTGTTTTCAGAGATTCACACTTACCGGCCACTTGATCCTCCGTGAGTCCATATTCAGACTGAAAGAAGAAAAAGAAGAAGAAG